TTTTCTTACATGATAAAAAAAAAAAAAAAAACTTAGACACTCGGTGTGTGTGTATAAAGTGTACATATAATGTCATAAGGTAACGGTTCCTCAAGTTCTACATCTTCATCCACATGTACCCATCACTCTCGTTGTGTTACACAAATGTGGAATTTTGCAAATCGTTATTCTGTTGATGTTGTTATATAAGAACCAGAGGAATTGGATGTGTAATGTGGTAAAAACCATAACTCGAACTTATGTGATGGGGATATATATAATATGTAATTTTTTACACATATTTTTATTTTTATATATCACAAACCAGCATCCTTATCATTGCAACATTTCTTATGAATTATTACAAAAAATTGATATTATTGTGCATACATTACGTATACTTAAGGCATGTATATAAAATATCTTGCGTTCATTTTTTTTTTTTTTTTTTTTTTTTTTCTTCTTCTTTTTTTATGAATTCAATTTTGCATGCAAAACGAGGATTTTTATATATGTACCATACATGTATGCTTAAATTTTGTCAGCTTAAGACTTTTAATTAAAAAATAAAGCAATTGCGTTGTGTTGCACATACACTTAAATATGTTGTATAGTTATTTAAGTGTATATATATATATATATGGATCTATCTACTTTAGGTAAATGATAAATGTAACAACAGATGAATGGAAGAGTTATGTTGAAAGAAAAAAAAGGAGAACAGAACGGATGAATTTTATATGTATTAACAAAGATATATTGTTAGTTTTAATTCATTTCATTCTTTCATTCATTCTTTCATTCATTCTTTCATTCATTCATTCATTCATTCATTCATTCATTCATTCATTCATTCATTTTTTTCCTTTTTTTTCCTTTTTTTTTCTTCTTTTCTGTTTCATCATTTGAGAACTCTTCATTTGAACACGTTTCGTCTGTGGAAGAGAGGGAGGGAGAGTTCTTCATTTAGTACACTCTTAATTGGATCATCTCGACAGTTGGTCATATCATTTTTTGACACAGCTTTATTTTTATAATTTATTCCTTTAGTTAGTATATTTTCCTTTGCCACGATATAAACTTTCCAATATGGTGCTTTTTTTTTTTTTTTTTTTTTTTTTTTTCATTCTTTCTTTCCCTTTTTTGACAATAGAAAATTACTTCTATACACAACTTTGCACGCAAAATACCTGTATTTTTAAACCCTTTAATAATAATGAATTGGTTGTGTGATCCACTATATGTATAAATTGGCATATTCTAATTAATTACATATACAGAATTGTGCTTTTCTTGGTATACCTACACACAAAGACGAGAAAAAATACAAAGGATGTGCATCTCATACACCCCTCTCCAAAGCGACATATACTCCATGTAGTGTGCATGTACACATAGTACCACATGATTACCTCTTCCAACTTATATTCTGATTGTACATATATGCAAATAGTACATTGTTGGGGGATCCTCACCTTCTATGCACACACTCTGTATATATGTATATATATATATATGGTCTCGCTTTTTGTGAGAAAACGTATATCTTTTGCATATATACTTAATTTCCCCCATACAAGTTATGCAAAATTCTGTGAATTCCAAAGTACAAGTATTTGTTTTTTGCATGTGTGTGTAAAAATAAATGAATCGATAAAATTTTAATACAAAAAGGTAAGCGAGGAAGTTGTAGGGCAGCATATATGCGTGAAAAAATGTAGGAGTTGAAAAATAAAAAAAAAAAAAAAAAAAAATGGGTCCAATTTCTGCTCCAAAGTATGGTTAAAACAACCCTTGGTTCATATATTTCTTAATCTGCTTTAATGATTTCCTCCTACTCAACTATAAGTAACATGCTTCTATGTGTTCATACATATTTGCTCATACATACTTGCTCATACATATTTGCTCATTCATATTTGTTCATACATATTTGCTCATTCATATTTGTTCATACATATTTGCTCATTCATATTTGTTCATACATATTTGCTCATTCATATTTGTTCATACATATTTGCTCATTCATATTTGTTCATACATATTTGCTCATTCATATTTGTTCATACATATTTGCTCATTCATATTTGTTCATACATATTTGCTCATTCATATTTGTTCATACATATTTGCTCATTCATATTTGTTCATACATATTTGCTCATTCATATTTGTTCATACATATTTGCTCATTCATATTTGCGTATGTAACCCCCCCCCCCCCCTTTGCTTACACACAAATATGACATTGGGAGGAAAATATTCAAGAATGAGAAAATAAAACTGCCTCAAATACGTAACCATATGAAAATTATGTAGCACATTATATATATGAACATTTTCGAACAAAAACCTTTTTGACGTATCAATGACATGTGAATTCCATAAAAATGGTGTATTGGTCACTTTAAATGCCTTTATGAGGCTGGTTCCTTTTTGTTCCTTTTTTTTTTTCGAAGGACAAATTATACCTGAGTAAAATCAGAGCCGAGTGTATATGCACATGAAAAAAAGTGTATCTAGTAGGAAAGAAGGAAAAATGGTGTGTATAATAAAATACATTTACTCTTATCATACAAAGTAAAAAATGCATTTGAATTAATATTAAATTGGCTTCTTCAAATGGACGATATAACCCACATAAAGGATTAATTTTAAAACGTTCGCGGTAAAATGAATATTTTAATTGAAAAAAAAGGGTACGCAGAAAATGCTAACCCTTCCTTATCTCCTTTCCCCCTTTACCTATCTAATATATGTACTCCATATATCTAATATAACCATATATCTATCTACCCTTTTTAAAGAATGGCGTGAAATATATGCATCCGTTTTGCTTGCAGCTATGCATAATATTCGCAGATATACACACAAAATAAACCCCAATCCTCTGTTTGATTCATATCCAACAACAGTTTTACATTTTCTGAACAAATTAAATAGGAAGAGGGAAAAAAACTACTGGTCTACTCTCCTACATAAGCGACATATATACCGACAACTTTATTTTTATTTTATTTACTTTATTTACTTTATTTATTTTATTTACTTTATTTATTTTATTTTATTTTTCCTCTTCCCCCTTTTCCTAAATTCACAATTTTTAAATACACGAATTGCCAAAAATGATCACTTGTCCAATACTACACATGCACACAAAAAGAGAAGAAGGGGAGGGGAGGCCATTAATTCCTTTTGACGAATTAAAGTGGTGGCTTATTCATAGAAAAAATAATATTGAAAAAAAAAAAAAAAAAAAAACTTCCTTTTGAAAACCTTTTTTGTAATTCCTGAATTTTTTTAATAATTAATTTGTTAGGTTTAAAATTTTAAGCGATACAAATTGTCTAAGTTTCTTTTATGAACAGAAAATGATAAGTCTTTTTTTTTTTTTTTTTTTTTTTTTTTTTTTTTTACATTTTTCACATAGTTTATCTCTCTAAAATAAGAATTAGTGATTTTTCTTTTACCCTGTTTGATGGATATAACAAATATGCACGTTTGCAATGTTGATCTTTGTCTACCATACGGGGGTGTAGCTAAATATATCATACACGTGTATTATGCACTTGTGTAAGGATATTTGTTTCAGTGATCATATCTCCACCTCATATGCACACACTGACACTGACAGTAACACTGACATGGATCAAATAAAAGAAGAAAAAGTGGGGAGACAAGAGAGGAGGAAAGGAGAAGGGGAATTTTATTCACCAATAGGTAAAGCTAAAACTTTCCTATGGTTAAAACAGAATAAAAAACTGAAAAATCTTTTTCATGTATGATCATCAGACCATCGAGCTGCTACTTAGTTTAAGTGCTTGACTCCTATAGTGGCTTATCACAGTAGTAGTACTAAATGGGCAATTTCCCTTTTTTTTGGTAAATATCTAACGGATAAAAAAAAAAAAAAAAAAAAAAAAAAAACCTACGAGTTCTGCGAAAACAAACGTTCAATATATTGAAATGGGGTTAACAATAGCATATTTAGGGTGACCTATGAATTTATATATGTATGTATATATGTATGTATTTATGTGTATATTTATGTATGTATGTATATATGTATGTATTTATGTGTATATTTATGTATGTATGTATATATGTATATATTTATGTGTGTATTTATGCATGTATTTATGCATGTATTTATATATGTATTTATGCATGTATTTATGCATGTATTTATGTATTTTTTTTTTTTTTTCTTTTAAATATTAAAATTGCCAACTGATGTTTAGAACACACGTGCAAATTGATTAGTACATAAACATAACTCAGCATTTTGATTGCTTAAAAAAAAAAAAAAAAAAAAAAGGACATACAAAAAGGCTTGTAAAGTTTGTACCAGATATATGCCAAACAGCAAATTATCGAGGACCACTTTTGCTCATATCAAATGAATTTCTTTCTTCAAACGTCTATACACGTGTATCTCAAAATATAATTTGTAATTTGCGTTTACGTATGGGGTATAAAGGTTAGTGGAAAATTTTGAATGTAAATTTTCCCTCGAGAGTAAATAAAATTTCGAAAGGTTCCAAATGTGTATTTCTCACTACAGTTTATGTTCATATATGTGTATATATAGATATACACACACATGAGCGTCATCAAAGCATTTTGCTAAGAGTGCATACAAGCTTACACATGAGTGTGCATGAAGCATTATGCTGATAACGTGTACCAATTTACACGCAAGAAATCTACATACAAGCCAAACAGTTTACACTTTTTTTTTTTTTTTTTTTTCCTTTTTTTTTTCCCTTTTTTTTTTCCCTTTTTTTTTCCTTTTTTTTTTCCCTTTTTTCTCATCCAAAATTTAAAGGGTGTGGGAGAACTATATTTTTACACATCCCCACCTTTATCAGTAATTATAAGCGTAGAAATAACAAAGCTCACATGAGCACATATGCATTCTGGCAAAATAGGGGCCCATGAGTATGCGTCGAAAGGAAAAGTAACTTTTCTATATCATATGTTTCTGCGTTGCTTAAGGGGAGGAAAATAGTTTTACAAAAATGATGGACGTAGTACGGGAAAAAAATAAAAACTATGATTTTAGCGATTCGTACGAACCCAGAACTTTTATAGAAGCAGAAACAAATGCTGCAAATGGTGTGAGCTGCTCTATTGACAACACAAATGAGGCAAACGGAACGAGTATAGATATAACGAATGAACGATACATTATATGGAGAAGAAACACGCCATTTTTATACAACGCACTTTTAAAAAACAAACTAGATTGGCCATCGTTAACAGTTGAATTTATAGGAAGTGAGAACTCATTGAAATCCAAAACGAACTATTTTACAAATAAAATTCTTTTAGGTACACATACATCTAATCAAGACTCCGAATATGTATACATTGGGGAAGTAAAGGCACCCCTTTACTCAACAAAAGAAGATGTATTGCAGTATGAGAATTACACAGGATTTATTAATAACAAGAAAAAAAAAAAATGTTATCCATTACCGTCCTTTGAAATAAAGGCGAAATTGTTACATCCAGGGGAGGTCATAAGAGCTACACATCTACCAAGTAATTCATTTTATATCGTTACACAGACGTATAATGGAAATATCTTATTATTTGATTACACAAAACATCCATCCTTCCCATCAGATACATCCACATGTTATCCACAAATGATTTTAAAGGGGCATACTAGTGAAGGGAATGGTCTGTGCTGGAATATCAACAGGGTATATGACAGTTGTGGAAAGCACACAAATGTTTTTAACGAGCCGAATGATTCGTTCGAAATAGATGCAACAGATGCAGCTGATGCAACTGACGTAACAGACACAACAGCCAGGTTAGAGGCAACGGAGAATGAAGATGATAACTTTGGAGATGTCAACACAAGCAATTTACTACTGGCTTCATGCGGAGCTGATGGAAGTATATGTCTTTGGGACATAAACAAAGGGGCAAAGAGCAATGACGTACCAAGAACTTATGGAATAAATAAAACTGGTAAAAACGCAGATTATAATATAAAAATGTATGAAAATACACCAACTTTAAATCCATTATGTACATGGATAAATAAGAACAAGGAAACCTCACTAAATGACATTTTTTTTCATCCCAAATTTAATAATGCTTTGGGTGTGTGTGATGATAATGGATGTATGAGTTTATACGACATAAGAGTAAAGAATTTTTTTACAAAACCTGAAGTAAATTTTAAAGATCATAATGAACCAATAAATACCTTTTCTTTTGATTTTTTTTCTGAATTTATTTTTTCATGTGGATATAGTGATGGGTTAATTTCCATTTGGGACATGAGATATAACAAAGAGTCTCTTCTTAAATTAGATTATCATACACAAAGTATTAACAGAGTGAAATTCTGCCTGATGCAATCAGGTATTTTTGGATCATGCTCAGACGATGGCACCGCTTGTATTTGGGACATTTCTAGAAATTCAACAAATTATCAACAAGTTAGAAAACTAGAAGATGATATTTACAACAATCCTAAGAAAATACCAAAACAGTTATTATTTGTACACGGTGGGCATGTTGGAAGTGTCTACGATATGTCTTGGGCTAACGGCAACACTTTTTTAGTTGCTACAGTTGGAGTGGACAACTCTCTACAGGTTTGGCATATGAATGAACAGTTCATATTTCAGTAACGATTTGTTCAGAATTTTTAGGAAAAAAAAAAAAAACAGCCAAATGGAGTGAGCTAGCCAAAAATAACAAAAAATGAATATCCTAGTAGTAAAGCTAGCCAAGCTGACAAAAACATCGAAATGAACAACAACAAAGAAATTCTACTTTTCTCATAAATCTCTCAACCCCCTCATACATAAATGATAAATTGTGGAAACTTTTAAAAAGTGTCAGCAGTGTGAATGATCGATTGACAATTTTTTTTTGAAAGAGAGATATACGATGCAGGTTTTTTTTTTTTTTTTTTTTTTTCCTTATTTTATGAGGGTATATGTAACAGTGAAAACATAATTTTATTTATAAATTTAACAAAACCATGTCGTTTTAGTTATCCCATTGTGCAGAGATTCTTCTACACATGCTCAAGTATATGTGCATCCTTTTAGGCATTTTCTTCTTCGTACTAATCCAGTGCAAAAGTGACAGTTTTGTTTATACAAATTAATAACTATTCCTTTCGTTTTCCATTTTATGTACACCACAAAATGGCATAAAATTTTTGCGAAACGTGAGAAGAGGTCTATGATGCTAGTACGCACACACATCTGTTGGGGGAAAACCTGGCCTTTATTCACATGTTATTCTTTATCTTTTCTAAAAGGGAAAAATTTTTCTCTTTTTTTTTTTTTTTTTTTTGAAAATAAAATGGTTTCTTTAAACGTATAATGGCTTTTATTTTTTTTTTTTTAACGTAAAATTACTTTTCTTAAACAAATATACTTCTTTTCTTAAAAACATAAGAGTAATCTTTGCTTCTTTGCTTCTTTGCTTCTTTGCTTCTTTGCTTCTTTGCTTCTTTGCTTCTTTGCTTCTTTGCTTCTTTGCTTCTTTGCTTCTTTGCTTCTTTGCTTCTTTCTTTCTTTGTTTCTTTTTTTTTTTTTTTTTTTTTTCTCATATTTGAAGAATGTGTAGAGTGAGAAATTTGCTTAAGACACGCACACATATAACAAAAAGGTAGAAATTGGAAAATGTGTGACTCCGAATTACCTGTTTTTTTTTTTTTTTTTTTTTTTTTTTTTTTTATTACAATGTTAGGATAGTAGCCCTTTTCAAAGGTAAACCCTTTTTTGTGTAATTATCTAATGATCCAATTATTCACCATGACTCTCGACATTTTGAGGTAATACACTTTTTAACGGCATCTAAAAAATTAAAGTCTTATGTGTAAGAACGTATGCACTTATGTGAACTTTGGATGCATGCACAAAAGGTTTATGTGTCAATAATTTGGAAAGTTCTTACTGGATTTTATAGGACCCCTATACTTTTCCATTCGATACATTTCAAACCAATAACATTCAACTCATTTTTCATTTCCCTATACTGACCTGAAAATTTTTAATAAAATTTACCCAAACTGAATAAACATTTCTTAAGCATTCACTTATCATAATTTTGTAATCGTGAACATTTATGCACATGTCTTTTTTTTTTTTTTTTTTCAAGAAAAAATAAAAGAAAAAGAGGCTTCATTTACATATCTTCTTTCGATCACATTTGTACATGTACTTTTCTCTTATAACTTTATGTTAACATGAGTAGTAATGTGAACAAAGGTTCTAACGGGCGTGCAAATGAGAATAGCAATTCGAATGATAATCTGAATGTTAATCTTAATGACAACCCAAATAACAATCCGAATGAGGGCTGGAATTCTGAACAATTAAAGGATGAAGAAAATATAGGATATGAAAAACCGGACACGCATACAAATTTCTGGAAATCTTTTGGCCTAGATACTAAGGCAGGGAAGTTACTTTACAATATGTATGGGGAGAAAAGTAAAATAACCCCAGCTCTTATTAAAACAAAAATGGATATTAAAAAGGATGTTCAGCCAAGTGAACCAGAAGAACCAAAGAGAAGGAAACCTCAAGTTAGCTATCCGATGTTCAAAAGTTAGTTTAGAAAAAAAAAAAAAAAAACTAAAAATAGACAATCAGATAGAAAAGTAGAATCCCCTCTTGGAGAAGCTGCACGTGTTTCCTTGCTCTCCTTATCCCCAAGGAGAAAGTCTGAATTGAGCGCTTAAACGGTCTCTCATTAGTCCATTCATTCGCTCGACCATTCTATCACGCTTCCATTCGATCATTGCTTTTTTTTCACCCACCCAACCCCTTCAGAGGAAGCAGCGAAGAAAAAGCCGATAGATACAATACCACATAAAAAACCTCTATCGAAAATTCTAGAAGAAACGAAAAACTATGAATCCATAAAAGAGCTACCTGTGCAAATAGAACGAAATAGAAATCTCGAAAAGAAAAAATTGAGTGAACTTTTCTTTGAGCAGAAATGTAAAGTTCTTCCTCCAAGTTGCTCTTCAGCAGTTTTGACAGAGGAAGAAAGAAAAGAAATAATTGAAAGTTCTGCGAAAAATTTCCATGATCTTAGAAATTCTAATTGTAGAGAAGAGAAAATTATAGAATCTATGAAGATTTATCAATCTGAGTTAATTGAAGAATTACAACAAAAGGTGAATCAATATAAACATATCTTATCACTTGGGGAAACAAATAACGATGCTGTAAATATGAAGAGCAGGTCATCCAATGAATTCGAGTATAAAAAAATTGAACTTATAAACGAAATTGAAGAATGTAAAAGGAATATTGAAAAAACGAATGCCATTTTGAATTCATATAAATAATTACTTTGTCTTATCCAGAAAATGTTTTTCCTTCCAAGTTGTTTCTTTCTGGTATATCTTATTTTTTTTTTTTTTTTTTTATGATAGATTGAAATAGGAATGATAGGATACCAACCATTAAATTGTATCATCATACCAATTGTTCTTATTCAACTATGTACTCATAGAACATTGTTAAGGTAACTTTATCGAGAGCAAGGGGAAAAAAAAAAAAAAAAAAAAAAAAAAAAGGAGCAATAATTAGCCGAATAAACCAACAGACAGACCACTATCCATATTAAACTTTTTCAAAATACATATTCCCTAATTCACTTTCGAGATTTACAAAATCATTTGGTATCCTTTGCCTTCTTCACACATCTTGTCATATTCCTATGCTGATCTTAGACGTAATACACATAAGAGGGGCGACGGGGGTACTTTTACCCATATTCACATAACTCGAAAGTAGGATGGAAAAATTTTTTTTTCTTTGAGATTAGTCAATTATATATACACATAATTCTTTGTTCACAAACAAGAATTGGGAGCAGAATTGCAAATCGACTAGTTTTTGTCTGTCGTGCTTATCTAACATAGAATATCTTTCATCTTGGAGACATTTCCGACCCGTTTTCTTTTCCTTGCACGCATGCACCATAACTCCACACTACACACAACACAGTCTCTTCTGCATCGAAAAAAAAAGAAAAAAAAGATACCCAGTGGTTACAGAGAGAATGGCCGAAATGTGAACAAGTGCGAAAAACAAACAGAACGTATACATATCACCACAACAAAGAAGTAACTTACATCGTTCGTTTGTTTGTGCGTTTTTTTTTTTTTTTTTTTTTTTTTTCCCTCCTCCCTTGTACCATTTCACACCCCCAACCCTGGGTGCAGTAGCTCTTTTGTTAGACTTTGAAAAGGAAGTAAAAGCACCTTTTCCCATCTACCCGTCTAACAACAAATTATTTTATTCATTGAACAAACTCTCATGCTTTCCTTTGAAATTTTATTTAGATGGCGAGCCTATTACATTTGTTCATTACTATATGTTTGTTACTTTTGTTGTTATTTTGTTTTTCTATTTCGCTCTTTTGTCATTATTTTGTCACTATTTTGAGACTATTTTGAGACTATTTTGAGACTATTTTGAGACTATTTTGAGACTATTTGTCACTATTTTGCCATTTTTTAATTATTTTATTTGCCTTTCACTTTGTATTTTATTTACTTATTTATTTACTTATTTATTTACTTATTTATTTACTTATTTATTTACTTATCTATTTACTTATTTATTTACTTATTTGTATATTTTATTTTATTCTCCTCCCCTTCACTCAAGGTGTAAGGAAAATTGTGTCATATGGTGTACACTCCATGCAGATTTTATTTTATTTTATTTTTTTTTTTTTTTCCTGTTTTTTTTTTTTTTGTTTGAGATTTGCTGAGGCCTCATAATATTTCTTAGCACTTTTTGACATGTTTTGAGACTTTCTAAAAAATACTACAACTTCGTGAAATTTTTTGAGAATTAATTCCTCCTAAATTATATCATTTCAAATGAAAAAATTACGACGAACAAGAAAAGAGGGTTGAGGGAAAAACAAACATAAGCCCCATACATACACATGTATAATTTTTTTTTTTTTTTTTTTTTTTCTTGTCATGGATTTACTGAAATATTTAAAATGTATCTTTACAACATTTGCATTTACAGGTTAATGCAAAAGCACCTTTCCCAATAGACACTAGTGGGATGAGTGTATGTATATATATATATATATATATATATGTGTGTGTGTGTGAGTTTTTATACCCGCATGCATGAGTACACTGCTTACTGGCTTATGTTCCTATATATGTACAACATGTGTGTGATATCGTCTGCTTAAGAAGGCATAAAAAAGAAATATTTTCTATTGAACCGTTACAACATCTTCGCCATTCTTTACCTTTTTATTCTGCCATCCAATTTGTGGATTTTTTTTTTTTTTTTTTTTTTTTTTTCCTTTACCCCAATTAATATACCTACACATTCAGACCTTTGCTAATCATTACTTGCACGGAATTTCATCAAAATCTTAAAGAATCCCCTTGAAAAGGAAAAATTCTTCAAGGCACATATTATCTGGTGAGAAACAAACATAAAATATTTTTACGTTCACTCTCCTAGTAAGACAAAACAATTTGCAGCATAGAATAACATCAACACAAGAGAAAAACTTAAGATACTGCAATTCGTTTTCTATCGGATGACAATCACACTCTCCTTTAAGTAAGATAACCGATAGAATCTAAACCCAGAAACCATAACAATCGATAGTATAAACAGAAAAAAAAAAAAAAAAAAAAAAAAAAAAAAAAATTCCTTCTTACCGTTGATTGGATGCTATTTTTGTTTAAAGGAATGAAGAACTATCCACATTTGCATTATATGATATGAATGTTTTATTCATACATGAAAAGAATGGAATCATACTCCCCCTCCTCTTCCTCATCATCTTCATCACCATCATGGTTATAATGATGTATGTATGCTTTGCATCTCCACACCCCTTGCACACCTTGTCCAAATCAAACTTTTGTGCACTTATGTACATTCTTGTACACTTCCCTCCCCTCTTGTAACATAATTTCTAGTTTGTAAGTCATTAGTGCTTCCATCCAATCGTATATTCATGAATCGAAGAAGCAAAGTTAAGGTAGAAGCGCAGGTGCACTGTGAATTGAACCATTTCGGATCAGCAGAACCCATTTCATCTAAGAAAACCGATACCCTGAGTTGAGCCCCGATTCTGCTGAAAGACCCCCATGAATGCACAAACATTCTTCCATACAAAAACAAACACGTATTCCCCTAATGGATTTGATGAATAAATGTGTTAAAGGGACGAAAATATTCGTCAGGGACAAACAGAAGGTACTTTACCAACCGTTGAAACAGATGCAGATCCATGCATACGAGAAAGTTTATGTACATGCACATCTACATCTGTGTCTACATTTGTATCTACACGTATGCACTCCTGCGAGTGTTAAATACGTGATCACCCCCAATTCTCCTCCTTTTTTGTTCTATTTTTGAGAGATTCATCGGTTGTCGCTTGTGCACACACACATGATACATATTGCAGACAGCTTTATGGGATCTAGCATATAGCTGGTTGCTCTATAAATTATCGCTAGCCAAAAAAAAAAAAAAAAAAAAAAAAAATTTATCCTCTAATTAACTACTCACCAATTCAGGTATGGATCTGCGCCGAAATCATAAAAGATGAAACGGAAATAGTGGTCAAGAATGAGGATGATGAGATAGTTGTGCTGAAGGAAAAGGATGAATTCTATCTTAGGAATTTAGGTATGTTTACTCTCACTTCTCACACATCGCACGTTGCATATATTTCTATTTTTTTGCTCATGTACAATTGTGGGCATCTGTATTTTTCTCTGAGAAATCTGGTTAAAAGGCCACGTTCAATAAGGAGAATAACAACATCTGTGCGAAACGTCAATTGTTTCATCGAACCAGACAGATTTTGAGTTATCTTTTCATTTTTGTCAAATTGATTACGTGGAAGATTAGTTGAACTTGCAGATGTATGCAGAGAGTTTATAATAAGATATATATATATATATATGTGTGTATATGTATATATACGTGTGTATGCACATGTATGCACACATTTGTCGCACTTTCCTTATCAGACATGTTCGATTCTAGTGGACTTTCTGCACCTGCGGATCTAACTAAATTGACACATCTGCATGAAGCTTCGATCTTACACAGCTTGAATGTCAGATTTGATATTGATGAAATTTACACATTCACGGGACCCATTCTGATAGCTGTGAATCCATTTAAAATGATTAAGGACTTATATTCTGATAACATGCTAGCGAAACATGTACAACCAATCCAATCCAAAAGTCCACATATATTTTCTATTGCAAATAGTGCATATCTAGGTATGTGTAAAAACAATAAATCACAAACGATACTCATAAGTGGTGAATCTGGTGCAGGCAAAACAGAATCCACCAAATATGTAATGAAATTCCTAGCATGTGCAGGTTCAGACATAAAAAAAAGGTCTCTAATTGAATGTCAAATATTAGAAAGCAATCCATTGTTAGAAGCTTTTGGAAATGCCAAAACCCTTAGAAATGATAATTCTAGTCGTTTTGGAAAATATATAGAACTACAGTTTTCTCTAGATAGTAAAGGGGGCGGGCACTACTACACAAAGGGCAAGTTGTGTGGTGCCATGATTAGAACATACCTCTTAGAGAAAATTAGAGTCTGTTATCAGCAGGAGGGAGAAAGAAATTATCATATTTTTTATCAGTTATGCAGGGCTGCACAGAGAGTCTCGTGCGCGAATGGCCAGCACGGCACAGTTGATACTGGATTGAGAACCAATTCAGGTAGAAACTCGAGGAACAGTCCAGCTAGCGGGTTGAGAAGCAGCTCAGGTAGTAGATGTAGCACTGTGCAGGACAAGGAACCATTAGACGAAACTCAGGTCGAAGCGATTGCCACTGCTTGCGAATATCACTTCCCCGCGACGGAGAGGTACAAGGACCCGAGTATGGGTGCCAAACCTGTGAAAATAAGCTTGGTCAACTTTAAAAGCCATGAGCATTTTCGCTATCTGACCAAGTCAAGTGTGTATGAGCTGAACGAGGTTAACGAATTAGAAATGTTTGAGACAACTGTTTATGCAATGCAAACTATAGGAATAAGTGAATCTGAGATGCATCAGATTTTTAATGTTCTAGAAGGTATATTATACATAGGGAATGTTTTATTTAGTAATGACGAAAGTAAGGAAGAATGTGACATTTTGGAAGATTCTGTTGATGATTTAAACAAAGCTGCATCTTTTTTAGATGTAGATCCAAAAGAATTGAAAGATGCATTATGTTATAGAACAATCATAGCAAATAATGAACATTATAAAAAACCAGTGATTGCAAATGTAGCGAATGATGTAAGAGATGCATTGGCCAGAGCAATATATGGATGTTTATTTTTAAAAGTTGTAGAAAGAACAAATGAATCAGTAGGGTTTATAAAAGATATAAATTTATTTTGTGGTGTTCTGGACATATTTGGATTCGAATCATTTCCTATAAATTCATTTGAACAGTTGTGTATAAATTACACAAATGAATGTTTGCAACAATTTTTTAATAACTTCATATTTAAGTGTGAAGAAAAATTATACATAGATGAAGGAATCAAATGGGATCCATTAGATTTCCCAGACAATGCAGAATCTGTGCATATTTTAGAATCAAAACCATTTGGTGTATTCTCCATGTTAGATGAAGAATGTTACATACCTTCTGGAAAAGACAAAACATTTTGTAGCAAAATTGTGAGCAAACATAGCACTTCTTCAAGTAATGGTCGTGAGAAACGGTTCGAGGCTGTCAAAACAGATCCACTCTCTTTCATAATTGTCCATTTTGCAGGGAAAGTTATGTACAATTCATCAGGTTTTTTGGAAAAAAACAAAGATCAATTATCTGTGGATGTACAAAATATACTTCTACAAAGCAAGAATGAATATATCTCTTCACTTTTTCATAAACATCTAAGGAGAAATGTGGAAAAAAAGAAATTTCCCACAGTTTCTAGCGAATTTAGGGAACAACTTCATCAACTAATGAAAAGAATTAAAGAAACAGAACCTCATTTTATTAGATGCATTAAACCAAATGCACAAAATATGCCAGATATTTTTGATAGAATATCTGTCAATGAGCAATTGAAATATGGAGGAGTCCTCCAAGCAATAAAAGTTAGTAGGTCTGGATATCCAGTTCGATTAACACACACAGATTGTGTAAAAGATTATTCCATTTTGTTGTCACGGCAAGATAAGCAGCTGTTTAGAGAATATGAAAATAAATCCTGTACACAGAAAGCTATCTTCCTCCTTGGCAAACTACAACAGTGTGATGAAATTAAGGAATTGGTTCAGTCTTTGAAGATTATGAAGAAGCAGATGGATGACATATCCCATAGTGGTGGTCTTCGCTGCATTTCTAATATTGGAAAAGATAAAAAATCCTCCCTTCATGAGTCCCCTCTTCTTAAATCCCCTCATCATGAACCACTTGGTAAGAGAAGCACCAACGGGGAGTTGACCTCCACGTACACAGATGTTATTGATCCAGATGAAACGCTGATATGGGCAGTAGGTAAATCTCTATGCTTCTTCAAAAGTGATGCATACAATGTTTTGTCAACTATGAGAAGTGATTTCAGAGAAGCCCAAGCAGTGATAATACAGAAAAATTACAAAAGACATATTCAATGTAGATTATTTAATGTAATGAAATGTAAGGCCATCATTTTGCAAAGGTGGATTAGGCGTATGCTAAAAGTTATGAAGAATGAAAGAAACAGAAGAGAGGCAGCGAAAGAATTGATCTGTCTACATCTCTACGGATACACTGTTAGGAAAAGATTTCTTTTTAAAAAAAAATGTGCAACAGTTATACAGTCTTATGTGAGAGGTTATTTAACGAGAAAATTTTATAAAGAATATAGAAAATATCACTATGCAAGTATAATCAAAGCATCATGGAAAGCATATAAACAAAAAAAACATTTCGAAAATATGAAACATTGCACTAAGAAAATTCAGTTAAAATGGAAAGGCATTTTAGCTAGAAGACAGTTGAAAAGACTTAAAGAAGAAGCTAAAGAGGTTGGATCATTAATAGAAAAAAATCAATCTTTAATAAAAGAAATAGAAAATGAAAAAAAAAAAAAAGCTGATATGGAAAACAAACTCTTAAAAGCTTTTGCGAATGTGGACAAATTGACTAAAAGGATAGACATCCTTGAAACAAAGAACAAGCACAATGAAGATGTCATTAAAAGGTTGATGGAAAAATTAGCTCAATCGAGTGCACTGTCCAGCGGTGAAAAACCAAACGGTGAAAAACCAAACGAGTGCACACGAGTCAAGGCAACAAACAGGAAAACGGAAGATGATGCTACTGTCACCCACACAAAGTCCGTTGAAATAGAGACTCTTATGAACAAAATAAAAAAACTAGAATATGAAAATAAAGAATATTTGAAGAAGAATAACACCCTAAATGATAATTACAATAAGCTGCTTCGTCTCTTGTCTCATTTTAAGGAAAAAAATATGACCATTCCCAGCAATCAGGAGGTAGGAATTTATCAGAGTTCTCTTCAGCAGCAAAATGAGGTGCAGGATGAGTGGGAAGATGAGGACCAAGGTGAACGGCAAGATGAACGGGGAGGTCAGCACCCAAATGAGAAATACATTGAGAATGGTATCGAGGTGGGTACTCCGTGGTACCCCAGAGCAAACAGAACTGTGCAGGGAAAAAATGGAAAGGATGTAGATATTCTGATGTGCGGGCCGAAGAATGTTGGAAAAACGAGCCTGCTAGAAGATCTCTTCGTGCGTCTGGGAGACGAAATTAACCTGAACATGTTAAGAAAGAATAAGAAAAAAAATTGTGAAGAAAGTAGCGTATTTCTTTATGATACCTATGTAATTTCCCACAAATCAATTCAAATAAAAATTTGTGATTGTATGTACTCAAGCAGCAGAAATGCAGAAGAAATGCTTTTCAATTTTATAAAGAATTCGGTATGTATAATAGTGGTTTTTGATTCCAGTAATAATGATTCTATACACCCAGCTCTGCATCTATTACAAGAAGCATCTCTTACTAATGTCAAGAAGAGAACAAAATTGTATCTTCTGGAAAACATATTTAATGAAAAGATAAACATGAAACCAAACATGTGTGATGTTTCATATGCTTTACAAGTTGCAAAAGCATGCAGTGCAAATTATGTGAAGACATTAGATATATATGATATTGTAAATGACTATGCCCATGGAAGTAAATTAAATTATAGTTCATTTCATGGAAACACAGGAAATAACTTAATTGGAGGAATTTCATCTATTGGAAGGAAAACGAATCATATTCAAAGGAATCCCAATCAGCACTCCTATCTATATCACAACTTGGGTATGCAAATCATGGATGATACTTCAACAGATGGTTATAACAACAAAAGATATGTGCATTCAAAGGAAATGCATAGTAAAGAGGGATACACAATTGACAAATTTTCCTGTGCTAACAAGTTGCATATACCATCAGAGAAAAACTACCTTGCAGAGTATTCAAAAGGAAGGAGAGATGGAGAGAGAGATGAAGATAGAGATGGAGAGAGAGATAAAGATAGAGATGGAGAGAGAGATAAAGATAGAGATAAAGTGATAGAAGAAGGGAGAAAAGAAGTTTTAACCAGGTTCAACAAAAACAGAAACATTTATTCTGTAGTTAACTCTTTAAAAACTTTATGTGGAGTATATAATAAAAAAAATCAACATCTTCAATTGTTACGAGAATCTATGCCTCAGAACAGTTATATATATAGTAATAAAAAATACAATGTCGAATTGGGGAAAGGATTGCAACCCATTTATGAAATTACATTAAAAGGAAATGTACCCATAACATATCTGCTTATTGGACGAGATTCCATTAAGAAAGTTCACACATTACTAGCTGTTGGTTGTAAAGATGGAACTATTCATATATACAAATGTTTACGAACGGCACTTGAGAACTCAAACAGTAGCTATTATTTCTACCATGATGAAGGGATATCATCTGACCATTTGCAGAAGGGAAATGTCAACCTCAGGATGGATGATGAAATGGATTCTACTGCCTCTTCATATTCTCCGGGTGGAAAGACCAGAGTGAGTAGCCCTCCTAATATTCATCTCAGTGAAGAAATGAAAAAAAATAGTGGAAGCGAACATTTGTGGAAAGAGTATATGAGCAGTTCAAGCAATGAAAATTTTAATGTCACATCAGCAAAGTTTGTAACAAAATTAGCAGGACATCGAAAAGCAATAACTTGTCTGGTTTTCACATTTACAGAAGAAAAAATAATATCTTCCTCAATTGACCGAACTATAAAAATATGGGAAGTGTCTACTGGATTTTTATTAAAAGTATTTTCAGATTCTTCTGCAACTCTATCTGTTTTGTTACTCCCATCAAATTTAAATCTTTTTGTATGTTCCAACTGTACATCTCTGCTTCGAATTGTTAATGTAAATAATGGACATGTAAATCAAAAAATAAAATTTGAAAGTGAAATAAGAACTCTTGAAATGGATGATACCGGATTAAATATATTTGCTGGTTCTAAGAATGGCACGATATACATATTGGAACTTATATATAATGAACGAATTGAAATCAAATTTAAGTTGCTTTTTTCTCTATCACCAATAACCTGTATAAAATTTGTACCAAAATATTCTGCTTACACATCTCCAATGATAATTGTAAATTCCTGTGATAACCACATTGGTATCATTGAATGTATGTATGGTACTAAGGGTGTTATACTAACTACCCTGTCTGTTAAGCATCGAATTCGAATCAACCATGCCCTTTTACCAATTCGAAATTGCTTCTCCAGGTTTGGAGGAGGCTGGCTCATATCTGGTTCTGAAGATGGCAACATATACATTTGCTCCCTTTTCCCTCAGTCCAACTACAAGCTCATTTTTTTGAAGCACCACAAGGTGAGAGCGATAGGGATGGTGCTAGTGGTAGCGATATATATATGTATATATATATGTAGAAAGAGAGAGAGACGGGGACAACCACGCCTCACTTATTACATACCTACTTATGCCATGCCTCCCACTCTTCCCAAATTTTCTCCGCTTCCCTACCCTTTTGCAGGCACCAGTTATGGCCGTTGTAGTTAATGACATCGACACGTTAATGATATCGGGTGATTCCAAAGGAAACGTAGTTTTCTGGAGACGAGCCTTTGTGTAGTAATGAAGGAGACCACTGTACTGGATTGATATTTCCACGCAACTTTTTTCGTGTGCCTTATATTTTACTTTATTTTTTTTTTTTATTTTACTTTATTTTTTTTTTTTATTTTACTTTATTTTTTTTTTTTTATTTTACTTTTTTTTTTTATTTTATTTTTTTATTTTATTTTTTCTGGATTTTTCACTTTCCCCGTTGATTTTTACACCTTTAGATCTGTCACTTTTATTTTGACCTACTACATCATAATGTTTCCTTGTTTGTTTTTTCTCCCCACATTGGGCAAGACAACACACAACACAGTAAAAAGCAACAAAATAAAGTATAATAGAACAAAATAAAGTAAAATAAGGAGGCTCCAACTTTTATATCTGTCTTCCCTGAGGCACTAACACACGCCTCATACCACAACAAGTGCCACGAATCCCTCGCGGTTATCCAAATTATGTAGTATAAAACAAAAACGCAGCTTTGTAAAAAGGTACTAATTTTTTTTTTTATTCTTTTACATCACTTTTTGAGGTGAGTCCAGAGTCATTCCTGCTCTTCTTCTTCGTTCACTTTGTCCACTTCTTCCACTTTGTCCACTTCTTCCACTTTGTCCACTTCTTCCACTTTGTCCACTTCTTCCACTTTGCCCACTTCTTCCACTTCGTCCACTTCTTCCACTTCGTCCACTTCTTCCACTTTGTCCACTTCTTCCACTTCGTCCACTTCTTCCACTTCGTCCACTTCTTCCACTTTGTCCACTTCTTCCACTTCTTCCACTTCGTCCACTTCTTCCTCTTCCCTCATTTTATTTACTTTATCACATTTTCATCACTTCTCTTAAATTTGCTAAAAGCGGGTGAACATGTGTAAGGCAGTCTACAGAAAAATATCCCTCTCATTATTTTCACGAAGTTTTTTTTCCATTCATTTAGGAAGACCTATCCCACATGTGAGTTGAAATATGAGAGTGGCGAGTAGTACCACGTGTAATCAGGTGATATATTGATAATCCCCTGTTGTTCCTCCCGCTGTATCACTTCTTTTGCCACGTGCAAGTTGGTCAACAATTTTTTCTTTCTGGGTTAGAAGACTACCACACATATGGTACACACCTCTCTATATGTGTTTTTTCGTCTTCACATGAGGTTTCATAGTTTTCAGAGTTTTCCTGCCTCACCACCACATTGCGTTGCAACTTTTGTTCCTTTATCTTGCTTTAGAAAAAAGTGGGAAAAGCAAATGCAACACAATCGGAGTGACATATATGTGTTTATTGCTTTTTGATTTTTTTTTTTTTTTTTTTTTTTTTTTTTTATAAATTCATATTCCCGCCTTGAAAAAAAACTGAAAGGATGAAGAAAACAAATTTGTTGCCTTACTTCAGTAGGAGCAATAAAAAAAAAAAAAAAAAAAAAAAAAAAAAAATAAAAATATTTTTATCTTTCAGTTTGTTTAAAAAAAAAAAAAAAAAAAATTTTTTTTTTTTTTTTTTTTTTTTTTTTTTTTTTTTTTTTTTTTTTTTTTTTTTTTTTTTTTTTTAGAACAATATAAAATTACACATATTTTTATAGAAATAGAAAAGTAGTCCATTTTTTTTTTTTTTTTTTTTTTTTTTTTTTTTTTTTCTTCTTTTCTGAACGTTCATATATAATGGGTGAGAAGGTTATATATAGTACTACTAAGAAAGAACCGTTTTGATGAGTATATGTCTCTTTTATGTGCAAAAAAATATCTATATATTTTTGACAAAAAAGAAAAGACACTTCTCCAAGTAACTTGTTCATGTGAACCATGTGGGGAGATATAGATTTGGATGAAATTCGAGACTTGATTCAGAAGAAGAGTCTATGGAAAGGATTTGTAGAAGATGTGAAAAGTAACTGGGAAATCAAAAGTCTCAATTTTGGTATAATGAATAAAGAAGAAATTATAAAATGCTCGGAAGTGAGAATATTGAATAGAGAAATGTACAGAAATAATAGTGGAATTCCATACCCATATGGAGTACTAGATTTGAAATTGGGAGCGCATAAAAGTAATTCCATTTGTGAAACATGTAACAGAAATTTTATGAACTGTTCAGGTCATTTTGGATATGTAGAATTAAATTATCCAGTTTTTCATGTAGGTTATTATAAATATATAATTTACATTTTATACTGTATTTGCAAAGTATGTTCACATATCCTTCTTACAAATGATAAGTTAGAATTCTATGCTAACCTGAAGAGGAGTGTATCAGAAGATAAATCTCATAAAAAACTTATTTTTAAAAAAATTTTGAATAGTTGTAAAAAAGTGAGTAAATGTTATAGATGTGGTCACCCTCAAGGAGTTATAAAAAAAATAATTAAACCAAGTTTAGACCAATTTATGAAATTAAAACATGTAATAAAAACAAAAGAAAATGGGAAAATGGTTATTAAAGAAGATGATTTGAATAGTTTATATGTACTAAATTTGTTTAGAAATATGAATCCATTTCATATTAAACTTCTTAATATAGAAAATCCGGAAAAATTAATTATTACAGCTTTGTTAGTCCCACCCAATACTATAAGACCTTCTGTCATAATTGATGAGCATGGTACTGCAGAAGATGATTTAACATGTATACTTTCAGAAATTACACAATTAAATAACACTATTAATAATCAATGCACAAATGGATATCAGACAAATCAATTTTTGGGAAATGTAGAATTTTTACAATTACAAGTTACCAGATTTATAAATAGTGATTCCCCAGCTGTATCTCAATTATTAGCTACACAAAATATTTCAAAACCAGGTAGAGGAATATGTCAAAGATTAAAAGGAAAAGAAGGTAGATTCAGATGCAACTTATCTGGAAAAAGGGTTGATTTCTCAAGTAGAACTGTTATTTCACCAGATCCAAACATTTCCATAGATGAAGTTGTAGTTCCAGAAATTATTGCAATGAGATTAACTTATCCTGAAAAGGTTAACCAGTACAACATTGAGAATCTAAAAAAACTGATTAGAAATGGAACTACCACATGGCCAGGGGCAAATTACATTATTAAGAAAAATTCTATCAATTCAAACCTTCCCACAGATTCTTCTTCACATGGAGACACCATTTTCGATGTGGTCAAGCGGTACGTTGGCCATAGAGGAGGAGGAGGAGGAAGAGAAGGAGGAGCTGGCTCGAATATCAATGAGAATTACATCCAAGATGAACTAGGAAAGTCTGCATCAAAAACAGATGTGCTATTCCCTACAGGGACGATGGCCACCCTCCATTTGTCTACACCAACCAGTGCTGCTCTAAGTGGAACTGCTTCTCCAACTGGAAATGCTGCTCCAACTGGAACTGCTGCTCCAACTGGGAATGCTGCTCTAAGTGGAACTGCTTCTCCTTCTCCAACTGGAACTGCTTCTAACTGTGGCCCCGCCCCGAGAGAAATTTGGAAACCCACGGATTGGAGAAGAAATGATCAAGGGATAAACAAAATAAGTTTGAAATATGCAAATAAAAAATTTGTAATTGATAATTTGCAAATAGGAGATACTGTGGAGAGACATCTACTTGATGGGGACATCGTGTTATTCAACAGACAACCATCCCTGCACCGAATGTCCATTATGAGTCATAAAGCAAGAGTAATGAAGTATAAAACATTTCGTTTTAACGAATGTGTGTGCTCCCCATATAATGCTGATTTCGATGGAGATGAAATGAATTTGCATGTACCACAAACAGAAGAAGCAAAAGCAGAAGCATTATACTTGATGAATGTGAAACACAATTTGATTACTCCAAAAAATGGAGAAGTAATAATTGCTTTGACCCAGGATTTTCTCTCTGCATCATATGTTATTACTAATAAGGACACTTTTTTTGATAGGGATTCTTTTTGTTTATTATGTTCCTACTTCTCAGATGCAAAAGTAGATATTGAATTACCTGTACCTGCAATATTGAAACCAAAAGAATTATGGACAGGAAAACAATTAATTAGTGTACTTATTAAACCGAATAGAAAAGAAAATACAATTATAAATTTTGAAATAAAAGAAAGAGAATATTCAACAAAAAATGGTGATTTAAAATATCTATGTTTAAACGATTCATATGTTTGTTTTTACAAATCAGAATTGATATGTGGTTCTTTGGGAAAAAAGGTATTAGGATCATCTAAATATGGACTTTTTTATTATCTGATTCATCATAATTCTTCATACATTGCTTTAAAAATTATGAATCGATTTTCAAAACTTACTAGTAGATATTTTTCAAATAAAGGAATGACAATAGGAATTGATGATGTGACCCCATCAGAAACACTTACTCAGAAAAAAAAAGATCTACTTCAAGCTGGATATGAAAAAGTGAATAAAGAAATTCTTCTGTACAATCAGAAGAAAATGCAAATTCAACCAGGATGTACTCTTGAAGAAACATTAGAAATAAAAGTGAAAAATATTTTAGATGATATAAGAAATGATGCTGGAAAAACTTGTAATCAATATTTGCACTACTTGAATAAGCCACTTATTATGTTTAACTCAGGAGCAAAAGGAGCCCTGATCAACATTGCACAAATGATTGCTTGTGTCGGACAACAAAATGTTGCAGGACTTAGAATTCAAAATGGATTCATAAATAGAACATTACCTCATTTTCAATTTCATTGTAAAGATTCAGAAAGTAGAGGATTTGTACAAAACTCATTTTATACAGGGTTAAATCCAACCGAATTTTTTTTTCATACAATGTCAGGAAGAGAAGGACTTGTTGATACAGCTGTTAAAACAGCAGAAACTGGATATATGCAAAGAAGACTAATGAAAGCTTTAGAAGATTTATCTATACATTATGATTACTCTGTTAGATCTTGTGATAAGCAAATTGTTCAGTTTATTTATGGAGATGATGCTTTAAATCCGTCTTATGTTGATAATAACAATTCTTATGCTAATCAATTCGATAAAATTTTCGATCACATTACATCTATTTCGTCCAGTAATATTCTGTTATCATATGGAAAATGTTCTTTGAACTGTTCCCCAAAGTTATTGAATAAACATCCTGAGAAGCCACATGCATCTGTCGAAACGCAGCTAGTTGATCATTGTCCAGGAATGGAGTCTCATATCGATTCTACAGAAAAAGTATTTTTTAAAAATTGGAAAAAATGTGATTCTCTCAAAAGAGACAATCATCACATCGAAATGTATAGAGAGAAAAAACATAATACTTCATTTATATCGTCCATTGTGAAGAAGATAATATCAAATATAAATTCAACAGATTCGATTCCATTTATACCCTTATCACACGATGAACAATTGGTTAAGAAGGTTATGCAGAAAACAAAACAGGGACTCACAATGAGCTTATCGGATTTTGGTGCCCTACAAGAAAACGGGCAACAAAGTGAAATACCCATTTCTAACGCCTCTTCAACATTTGAAGAAAAAGCAAAGAAAGAAAGAAAAAATGGAAGCACCTGCTTACGCACAGAAGCAGAGGATAATTGCTGCGACGAACATTGCTATAAGCATTGTGAGGATTATTGTGAAGACCACTGTGAAGACCATTTTGATCACCAGTGCAGCGATTCAGATGTAAGGAACCTTTTAAGAGAAAACTGCTTGCTTCCCCCACAAAAACACAAATCAATTGCACGATTTGTAAACAAATATCGAAACGTGTTTGAAATTAAAAAATTGATAGACAAGAACCAGATCGTGCTGAGTGAGGCTGAAAATAAATATGTTCTTGAAACGTACAACCAGATGAGTAAAAATGTTAGGAAGAAGATCGAGATAATCAACAATGTTTACAGAATTGAAAAGGAAAATATGTGCAAAGATAAGGACAAGTACCTGAAGGATGGGTTCTGTATCTCGTCGGGTGACGAAGAATCCGTGAAACGGGTTCGGCACACCACTCACTGTGAATGGGAATATTCAGCTGACAATAGGCAGAACCCATCCAAAGATGAAACAATTGGACAGGTCAGCTCGGAGAGAAAGCATAATGATAGTGATAATGCTGGAGGTGATTCTGGGAGTAACTCTGGAGGCAATGCCGGGAGTAACGCTGGAGGCAATGGTATAGTGAAAAAAAGACAGGTCGAATTTTCCCGCAGCCTGAACGAAGCAGATGTGCTGTACAAAAATAAGTTTTACAGACAAATGGTGAAAAATGTAGTAGCATTTGTAAGTGTGTTTGAAAACGTGGAAAAGCATAAGCAACATTTCATTTTACTTCCATACGAAATAATTAAATGGACAAATTTCCTTTTAAATTATTTATCAGAACTAGTACCAAGGAATATATATGTGCATACAAAAATATCCCAAAGGGAGAAGGCAACTCATCAGAAAAATACACATAGCATGAAAATATACATGGAAGAAATAAAAAAATGGCTAGTGATTAAGGCAATAAATATATACAAATTTTTTAAGCACAAAAAAGGTTTTCAATTAATAAAGCGCAATGATTATTTTGATTTTGTATCGAACGCACACATTTATGACCCATCCTTTCGATACATGATTTACGAGTACTCTTTCATAAATTTGAAGCAGTTGTATTTATTTATATTTTTTAATGTGGCCAAATATTTCAAATATATTTCTTCACCTGGAGATGCTGTCGGTTCCATTTCCGCTCAATCCATTGGGGAACCAGGCACTCAGATGACTCTCAAAACGTTTCATTTTGCTGGTATATATATATTTTTTTTTATTTGTTACTGGAGAGGAGGGACAATATGCACAAAAGGCAGTTGTTTATTGTGAATTTTTTGCACCAATTTTTTGCTCCACTATTTGTTTCATTTTTTTCACCCACTATTTGTTTCATTTTTTGCACCCATTATTTGTTTCATTTTTTGCACCCATTTTTTGCTCCATTTTTTTCTCCATTTTTTTCTCCATTTGCTCCACCATTTGCTCCACCATTTGCTCCACCATTTGCTCCACCATTTGCTCCATCTTTATGCTTCACCCTTTTTTGCCTCCACAATGCAGGTGTGGCCAGTATGAACGTAACCCTGGGAGTTCCTCGAATCAAAGAAATCATAAACGCATCTAGCATAATCCAAACACCAATACTGAACATCCCTTTGCAAGTGAAGGACAACTACAACTTCGCGTTAATGATGAAATCTAAATTAGAAAAGACAACGATTAGAGACATATGTTATTACATAAAAGAAGACTATAGCACGAGGGGAATATTTCTATCCATAAAATTTAATGAAGAACTAATTCATAACTTATTTCTAAACATAAATGCCCACAGCATTAAAGATATTATCATGAAACAAAGTCATATTAACAAAATAAAAATTAATAAAATTTTAATTGATGTCGTGAATGATTACAAATTACACATTTCTTTGAAGAATGATGAATTCTTGTTTTTCCACATCGAATCGCTTAAGAAGGGACTTTTGGATTTGCTCATATATGGAGACAAAGACATTAAGCGTTGCATCATTAAGAAGGAAGAAGTGGAGATAACAGACTGTGAGGATGAGTCATTTTCGAGTGACACCAAAAAACTTCAGGACAATCCTCCACGCATACCTATTGGAAACTTCACTTGTTCGTCTAAAAAATTGAGAAAGGGGAGTGATACAGGAAAAACGAGCAATTCTCACTTGGAGGAAGAACAAATTCGATCTCGAATTGATAACTCGCACGACAGTTTTGTTTCTACACATCGGGTGAAGAAAGAACTCTTCCACGAGGATAAGGGTGGAGGGAAGAATGAGAATGCTGTGGAGAATAACAACTGTGAGAGTGGTGGGAACTGTGACAATGATGACAACTGTGAGAGTGACGCACTCAACGTGAAGCGCAGAAAATGTAAAGAACTTAAGACAAAGAAGGAACAGACAGAAAATGATAACAAACCAAAACAAGAGACTGAAAAGAAAAATGAAAAAGAGACCAAATTGCAAAACATTATGGAAGATTTTAAAAATCAAATAAGAGAAAATATTTCAAAAAAGAGGCGCAACAGACAAGATGATGAAAATAAAACATTCATCAATTTGGATTCAATTAATATTGATTCATTAAACTTGGAACACGTTGATATAGATCACATTAGGAATGAAAAAATAGAATTTTATGATGAAAATGGTAACTCCTATAGTGCACTCACGAATCCAGAAAATTCAAAAGAAGAAGAAACAAAAAAAAAAAAAAAAAAAAAAAAAAAAAAAAAAACAATATATTCAATACTTGTAGAAGGGAATTCCTTAAACTATGTACTTGGTCTGGAGGGAGTAGACTTTAAACATATCATTTCGAATCACGTGATTAATGTTTTTCAGGTGAGTCTTTTTTTTTTTTTTTTTTCCACTCAGAATTGTAGATCCACTATAGGAAAGCGCCTAAGTCAGGGTGTATACATATCCTATGCACGACTGAAATGCATCTCTTTTTCTTTCAATTTTTTGCACACCATTCATCTTTGTTTCATTCATGACAAGGTGCTAGGTATTGAAGCTGCCAGAGTGACCATCATTAACGAAATTAAAAAGTGTGTTGAAGCATACAGCATAGACATCGATATAAGGCACATCATGCTACTGGCCGATATAATGGCCTTCACGTAAGTTTTTCCACTCGATTCCTGAAGTGTGCGCCTCTATAAAATAACATTCCTTGAATGTATAGAATGCTCAAGATTGTATAAGCATATATATATATATGTATATGTTTGTGTGTGTGTGCATATACTTAAATGCTGCACATACGCTTTCCTCCACAAGAAAACCTCACCAACTCGTACCTTTCTTCCTTCACCCCTACAGAGGAGACATTTTAGGAATTAATCGCTTCGGTATACAAAAGGCAAGACATAGCACGCTCATGCTTGCATCCTTCGAAGAGACAAATGAACATTTATTCGTGTCATCATTTTTCAAAAACAGAGACGAAATCAACAACATCAGTGAGAGTATCATTGTAGGAAAGAACATCCCCATTGGAACGGGCTCCTTCCAGCTTCTCTATGATTACAAATTGTAAGTGCACCTGCATGGTGGGAGCAACGCAATTAGTCACTGCACCATATTAAGTGTCTCTCTTTTCCATGCACCACATTAAGCACCTCTTTTTCACACTTTATTCATATCCCTGATTTTTAAATCTGAACCCTAATCCCATGCAGCAACAGAGAAGCAAAAAAACTAACCTTACTGGAAAGGGCTCAAAAAGAAATGGCGTAACAAAAAATTCGGGAAAAAAGACAACCGTATAGAATTTTACACAAAAAATTTAATATTCCATCGAAATAAATAATGTCATGCACTTATATAAAATAAAGAATACAATGAAAGTAGTGTAGTCATTATTATCCTCCCTATTTTGGAAAAATATGTCTTCATGCTTTTTGAACTTTTTTCATCTGTTCTATTACCTATTTGGCAGGTGAAAAAAAAAAAAAAAAAAAGCTAGCTAATAAAGCGAGCAGAAGTTTTTCCCTCGCTCTCTCAAATGTTGTGCATTATTTATTTGTTCTCAATTTCTGATTTGTTTTACATATATATATATATATATATATATATGTACATATGTATGTACATACGTGTATGCCTATTTACACTTGTTAATATTTTTTTATTTTTTCAAAACTTGTAAAATTTCACGCGGTTAAAACACTTATATGACATGCTCTGGGCAAATGTCGAACTCTGCCACATGAAATAACAGAAGCACAGGTGGTATCGAACACACATATGGATTACGACTCTTATATGAAAAATGCAAAAAGGGTGTGTTAATAACTCCGCCTTTAAATATATACATATATATATATATATTACGTATATATAAACGGATGTAAAATTGTAGATACGAGTGATCTATTTTGCTACAGGTGACTGAATTTCACTATTTCACGGCTTCTCCTTTTCGCCATTTTGCCATTCTTTAACTAGCGAATTGTTGCATCTCACCACCAATCGAACGTGTGCTCATCCATGAACGGGAAAAGCGACCGTTAGGTGAAAACTGGGTGCCATACATCATCCATCCGGTTATTTCAATTGGGTGTTCAATCGATCAGTTAATCGCTAAATTTTTTTTTTTTTTTTTTTTTTTTTTTTTTTGGTTCCAGTTTTTTTTTCACCTCATTGGTTGAACAAATTTTTACCTTTTCTGCTGAAGGCCCCCAATCAAACAAGAACATGCACAGGCACATACATACGTTATGACAATTATACCTTTATTTGAAAAATACGCATTGTAATTATACCTTATTTGAAAAGAATAGAAGAACGAGGACATTCTTAACCAAGCATTGTTGCCTCACCATATAGAGATGAACGCAGGAAAAACAAATGACAGACTTCAAAACAGCAACAAATTCCCTAGACGAAATAAAAAACATATGTAACGAACTGCTAATTGCAAAAGAAGAAGATGTATACAATAAACTAAGTCTATATCATGAACTCGAGCATAAATTAAAAAAACTAGAGCCCATTATAACCCGTATAAGATTACGTAGAAATGAGAAAAATGAGGAAAAAAAAATTTATGGCGAAAAAATGATAAAAAATGTAGATATATTATTAGAACGATATGATTTGTTATACAATATATACGAAGAAGAACTAACGGTTTTTAAAGAAAACTGTGAAATTGAAAAAAAATATATGACTGAAAAAAAGTTGTTACAGGAACAGCAAAGAAAAGAATATGAAAAAGAGTTACTCAACAGGGGACGAATAAAAACAAAAATGGAGGAACAAGAAATTCAAAAACAAAATGAACAAAAAATGAAGTTTCTAAAAGACACACAAGATGAATATGCACAGAGAATAAACCGAATAGAAACTATAAAGCAGATTATAAAAGAAAAATGCAACTTTCTCTATGATGAAATTTCAGCTGCATGTGACAGGAGCACTGTCGTAGCCTACATTTACACACAGTTGGGTTCTCCTCTTGGAACCGCACCACCCAAAGAACGACCCCTACATGTAGCCAACATAGAAGATGCAGCAGATGTAGCAGATGTAGCAGATGTAGCAGATGCAGCAGATTCAGCAGATGTAGCAGATGCGGCGAGTATAGCACATGGGGGAATCACGGCTGACACTTCCAACAACACAAATCACGAGCATCTGATCGACTGCCTATATCTAATTTATAAACATAACGAATTCAAACTCTTCAAAGAGGCTCTCAAAAATATAATTGAATACTTGACAGAACTAGTAAAGAATATTGATAACGATCAACTGAAGCTGATAAATCTCATGAATGAAAAGTTTCAAAAAAATATTCTCTCCAAGAAGGGTACTTTATTTCTATTCATTTTAATCGGGTATGTTGTGAAAAAACCCGAGGATGTAATTTATGTACTACAAAAAATTAACAGACAAATAAATGAAAAAAACATCTACATATATTTGGAAGAGCCTGATATTGCTACTGATTATGAGAAGTGGAAGACTTGGTACGACTATCTGCAAAGTTCCTTAGATATTCTATGCACCTTCTTTCGGTATGTTAACAAGTATTCGGATGTTCCTGAGGATCATAAGGTACGTTCTATTTTTCTGTACTTGAAGGAGAAGTTTGTGTTGGGACACACGCAATGAAGCGGTGCAGTGGGTTCTAACGTGGCTTCTAAACTGGCTTCTAACATGGCTTCTAAAATGGCTTCTAAAATGGCTTCTAAAATGGCAGCGGGTTGCCTCCAATCCGACATGATGCTGTGCACGCTCACCCGCCCTTGAGCAAATCGGACACCTTTGTGAGGTCGCTGAACTTGGCACGAACGTGGTAATCTGACATTCTGTTTGTGATGTGAGTCTTTGAAATGTTGATCTCCACAATTTTTTTTTTTTTTTTATTGGCATAGCGACACAAATTCGTAGCAGTTGATACAGAAGATGAAGTTCCAATTACCAAAAATAGGTCACAATTTTCTATTTCCTGCTCAGCTTGCTTTAAAAGAAATTTTGGTATAACTTCTCCAAAAAGAACAATATTTGGCTTAAATATTCCACCACATGGACACTCAGGTGGTAATTGATGCATAAAGTGAGATGTTTTTTGTAGCATAATTTTATTTAACTTTATAGTTTCTCTACACGTACAACATAAAGCCTCAAACACATTTCCATGGAGGGGAATGACTTTTGTATTTCCACTTTCTTCATGTAATCCATCAATATTTTGTGTAATTACGGACTTTAAATATCCTAAATTTTCTAAGGTCGATAAGGCTACATGTCCTGGGTTCAATTCTATTTCATAATCTGAAGATATGTCTCTTATTACTTCCCATATTTTTTCTGGGGATTTCCAAAACCCCCAAATGGTCCCATATATTTTGGGGTTATATTTACTCCAAATAGAACTGTTTGTACTGCGAAAGGTTGGTATATTACTTTCTGCTGATGTGCCTGACCCTGTTAAGGCAACTACATATTTACAGTCTTTTATAATTTCTGCTAGATCCTCTAGTGTAATGTTTTTCGTGTCCCTTTTACGGGAAAACCTCATTAGGTTCCCCATTTATTGCGCCCGAAGCGCTTGAAGGAGATACTTCTGGATGTGTTACTGGGTGCGTGTGTCCTCGTGTGAGAGGAGGAAACTGAGCTATTTGCTTGGAAAAAAAATAATTATCAAAATAAAAGTACCTACACAAGTTCTGTAACAATCATTAACATTTTATTTTTTTTGTCCCTTCCCACACACACACACACACACTCACAAAAAAAAAAAAAAAAAAAAAAAAAAAAAAAAAAAAAAAAAAAAAAAAAAAAAAAAAAAAAAAAAAACTGCAAACAGTAAGCAATCCGTAAGACTGTGTTGTGTACCTTTTTTTTTTTTTTAATTCTTCGTTTAATTTGAAAAGCCTATGCGAGCTTGCAAAATTGCATTTTTCTATAGGAATAGGAAAACGGGAAAAAAACATGAGAGAGGAAAAAAAATAAAAAAAAAAAAAAAAAAAAAAAAAAAAAAAAAAAAAAAAAGTTATAATATTCCGTTAAACATGCCAAGGTTGAAAACACTTTCACATAAAATAATTTAGAGGATGCACAAGGAAAAATCGATAATCATGTTTCTGAGAACATCTCTAGTTTTAATTTTCCGCTCAGGCAGAATAAAATATTTTTTACAAAAGGCGTGAATTTTTTCTTAGGGAAAAAAAAAAAAAAAAAAAAAAAAATGACTTATCATTTAATGTCTATATACAATAAAACAAGTTTCATTACATTATTATCATCATGCCACAAATGTGTGATGTGCAAAGAAAACAATTTTGCAATTTTTAATGATACAATGAATGTTAATTTGAATGCTACAAAAATGCATGTTGAGTGTAATTGTCGTACTAAAATTTTACCCATAACTATACACACATAATACCTTTTAGCAAAATAATCTTGGACTGATGTTAAAAATATTTACAAATAAAACAAAATAAAGAATATACATCATCTCCCTCTCCTCAATTCCCTCCTACCCTAATTACTACTACTCCTTATTTTATTCTCAAAAAAAAAGGGGGCCACGTTTTTTTCATCACATATAATTTGAAGCAATTATTTTGAGCTACATTGGAAGAAAACGGAATTGAAAACCTATAAACACAAAAACATTATTTTCCTTCACTACACATTATATACATGAAACCTTTTTCCCCCTTAACCTGACGATGCGATACATAAACAACCACTCATCATCCATTATGCATTTCATCTGGTATTTTGTTGCTCTTTTAATATATTATACATATTTTTACTATCACTTTTTAAGTTTTTTTTTTTTTTTTTTTTTTCTTTTTCTTAGAACATGCAATGATATTTTAGAATTTTTAAAAAGGAGAAAAAAAAAAAAAAATGGAGTGAGGTATAATTATAAACTTTAACATCAATCATGCAGGTGTTAAAGTTCTTCCAACCCCCTTCAATTCCTACAAAAATATATCTCCTTTCTTTGATATCTTAGCAACCATAAAAAATAAAGTAAAAATAAATAATTTCGAATTTTAATTTTTTGATATAATTGTTTATGGATAACACATTGGATATGAAATATAATAACACAAGGGGGGTGTGTTGGTAGGGAGGGGGAGAGAGAGAAAAAGAGTGTTAGAGGATTGTAAATAGACCTTGTTTTTGCTTCCTATATATTATTATCATTCAATTTGGTTCGTAGTATGTGTGGAGGGGATAATACAAACATACACCTATAATGCATGCAAAACATGCACACAGCATAAAATATACATAAATATTATATATATATATATATATATATATATATATATATATATATATATATATATATATACATGGCATACCAAAATTTGTCGTTGGGACATATTCCTAATTCAATGCACAACTTTACGTGCACTTCTTTCACATTTCACACAAAGATCCAAAGGGTGTTCCATCATTAAAATTAAAAATGCACATAACATAAAAATATATGTTTCTGTGAAATGTGTCATAATTCAAAAACAACACACTAAAAAGAGAATAAAAATATGCTTTTATCTACCACCATTCTAACATTTAAAAATTTCCTCACCCTTTAATTTTCATTGCACTATAATTATATAATATGTATATATATATATATATATTAATAATCACATGTTTCACGGTATAAAAAAAAAAAAAAAAAAAAAAAAAAGGAAAAGGGGAAAATAATTTACAAAAGATTTTTTTTTCTATTTATTTATTTTTCCACTTCTCCATATTTGCCTCTCCATTTTTATTGCTCAATTTTTATATGTTCCCCTCCGTTTTGTTACGGCAAAAACAACACTACTTAACAAGAAGCTGCCCGAAGAAAAAAAAAAAAAAAAGGGCGTTGAAAATACCGGGAATATAGAGGGGGGTTTATTAATATATAATAAATCAAACATTTTGATTCTCTTCCCATCTATGCCATTTCTACAACCCTGACCACAAACACACCACACACAAACTAAAAACACAAACACATTTTTCTTATGCTTTTAAAAATAAAAACACAAAAAAAAATAGTGAAAAAGTTAAAAGATATGTGGGTGTGGGGGGGCAGAGATGAAAAAATGTTTCGACAAGATAACCAAAATGAATGACTTATTATTTTTTCTTTTTTTTTAGGTTAAAAAATAAATAACGATATAATATTATAACGTTGGAAACAAAATTAAATCGCTGAGTGTAGTTTAACCATATATAATAAATCTTTTATTTTATAAGTTGCTCGGCAGAGAAGAGAAGCATATATATAAAAAAAATTCAATTTGCAGTTTTCTCCTATATCCTTCACAATATATGTACATACATATATATATATATATATATATATATATATATATATATATATATATTAGATACATTTTTTGCTAAGGCTGTATAAAAAGGTTGTAATATAGAAACGCTCACACACTACCCTTTCGGTTAATTCAACTTGTTTTATTTTATTTTTTTTTCTAGTAATTCTCTCTCTTCATCTCATCTTATGGATGCGTTATATTTACTTGCAAATGGACATAATAAATGGGCATTGGAATTTTAAAAAATCAGGAAAATAATTTAATTCAATTTAAATATATCTTCTGAAAATGATGATGCTTCCATAAATTGCTTCGTAAAACATGAAAAAAAACGTGTTTTTCCAAATGCAAAAAAAAATATGTACATTTTATTATATATAATAATATGCCCGTTTGGCCTAATAAAATTCTTAATTATTATGTCACATTTTCTCCTAATTCGTACATCTTCTCATTCTTCTCCTTGTTATGCATTTTTTTTTTTTTTTTTTTTTAATTATTTAAGATACACAATTATCATCACGACCCTTTCGCTTTAATTATTGCTGAAGTAGCATGGAGCAAAACGAAATAATTTCACTCTGCACTTTATATTATGTATAGCTTTGAACACCCATCGTGTACCTTTCAATTTTTATAGAACTGTAAAACTGTTGTTTTTTTTTAACACAAATTGGAATTTTACAGAATGGAGTATACAAATTAGCTCCCCTTTTTTTTATACAATTTTACAAAATTATCTGTTCCGATCTTTTTCATTGTATCTCACTTATTTTTCTTTTTCCCTCATTTTCTCATTTTTTTTCTTTTTTAAAATAGTGTATATATATATATGTATGCATGTATGTGTGCCCCTTTGAATAAGGAGCAATTTTTCATTTCCCTAATTATTCCCTTAAGAGTAGAGATTTATAATTCATCGAATATTTTTTACACGAATAAGATTTGCTTTTCATCATCTCTTTTGGGGAATGCTTTTTCACTTCATCCGTTATGCTGTACGTACGTGTATAGGTAGGTAGGTGTGCAGGTACACATGTATGCATGTATGTATGTACATATATGCACAGAATATTATGGATACTAGTTGGATGTGAATTCCAGCAAACAATATTATTTCCCCCAGCACACCCCAGCATTCAATATGAAAAAAATTTTACTCCCTCGAGTCATCATGTTTTTACAACAAAAAGTAAATCGTTCCTTATTTTTATGATATATAAAGAAAAAAAATAATAATAGAATAAATAATTTTCACCTCATTGTTGCAGTAATACAGCAGTGGATGGGTCCAAAAATATGATAAAATTGGCACAAAAAAGGGATAGGAAAGTATGCAATTTATGTGTAAACCAATATTGTGCTAATACCAGCGTTGCAACACGCAAAATGAAAGTTGTTGGCAAAAAAAAAAAAAAAAAAAAAAATGCAACTTACCGGAAATAAAAATAAATCAGCTAAGCAATTACCCGTTACACTGCTATTAAAATGTGTTGTGTGTTTTCATTTACAAATGGATATTGTCTTTATTAAGTACAGTGTAGAAATTTTTATTTTGCATCCTCTTTTTTTTTTTTTTTTTTTTTTTCTACTTTAAACTTGTTAACTACTCTTGTAGGAGGCCCATAAAATAAATTTTATTTTATTTCACATGCGAGTATAGACATACACACATATGTATGCTTGCTTAAAAATGTTTACCATACCTCGCGAAATAGATTGTGTAAGATAATATCAAAATAGAAAGGAAAAACACTCCGTCTAACAAGTCCAATCGGCAATTCATATTCTTGTCACACCTCTTTTTATATAAAATGGATGAGGAAGTTTTAAAAAGACTAACCAACAGAGAACTGAAAAAGGTCTCCAACAGCAGCAGCAACAACAAAAGAAAAAAAAAAAAAAAAAAAAAAAAAAAAAAAAAAAAAAAAAAAAAATTAAAAAAAAAAAAAAAAAAAAAAAAAAAAAAAAAAAAAAGCAGAAAAGAAATAAGAAGAAACTATTGCTAAAAAGAAAAATTCAGCATAGAAACCAACCCAATTCATTTGAGAAAAGGGCTGCCATATCCAAATCGTTCAAAACATATTGTGTGCGCTTTTATTTTGTGCAATTGCCCCCATTCGATAGACTATTTTAGAAAAGGCCAAACATATTTTAGACGAAAGAAAAAGTAATACAAATGAACAAAATAAATATGACAAAAAAAATACAATCATAGAAAATGAAGAACATTGTATGGGAAAACATAAACTAGAAATGGACACGTGCTCAACTGTTGCAAGGGAAATATTTTCGGACAAGGAAAATAACCCTTTTTACAATATACAAGACCTTTCTCTTAAATATCTCAAAATGGTTGTATTCATAAGAATATAAAATTTTAATCAAATGTCTATGACACAATTCTCATAACAGTTTAGTTTTCCCTCTACAATTTTAATTTGTTCCTTTTTAACTCATCTCTCCTTTTTATTTTCTTTAAAAAAAAAAAAAAAAAAAAAAAAAAAAAAAACAATAAACCCTTTTTGTTACAGTGTGAATGGAACAAGCTGGATTATACGAATGTTGAATATGAGTTGGTCATATCCTTCATGCGCACGCTCAACAATGGTTATATATTTATACATATATGTATACCTTTTTTTTTTTTTTTTTTTTTTTCTCTTTTTTTACGACTTGTCTCTGTCCGATGAACATATGAACATATCCCTCGGATTCCTTTTGTTCTCGCACATTTCTTTCACGCACACGTATGTGTACACTTGTGCAGAGCTGAAATACCAGCTAAGTTTAAGCAACAATGAAAATCAGGAGGATAAAGAAAATTCGTTGCTTTATCAGATAGCCAAAATGTTCATAGATAAGCTTATTTTTTATTGTACAAACCCAATGGCTTGTTTGACTCCAAATAAAAATAGTGACAACATCTTACTTGGTGAAGAATTATCCGCACAGATTCTTTTTTTTTTCAGTAAGTGCAACGATAATAACCATATGAAAGGGTGGTTACATATATATGTATTTTTACGTGTGTATTTACATAGGTATGCGTGTGTGTGTGTGTGCACATTAACACGTGTGCACTTGCGGGGACAAAGGTATCCTCCATTAAGTCAGACACGAAGGAAATGTTTGGGCAGCCCTCACTCAAACATCTTCACCTAAACATCTTCACCTAAACTCCTTCATCCCATCGCAGAACAAATCGAAGAGAACAGCCATGAAAATTTTCTGCTTAATATTTGCCTGAGCAGAATTGCAGAAAGCATTTTCAACTTCAAACCAGAACGTAAACGATATCGAAAATCACGTACAATGGAAACATATATATATATATATATATATATGTTTCCATTATACACAAATTGATATTTCACTGCACTTGTGCACTTTACTAACATTAATGTTAAGCAGTTTTCACCATTTTGTGGGGTATAACTTACACATTACTATGTTTTTTTTTTTTTTTTTTTTTTTTTCTTTAATAGCTAACGAAATGGCTAGCTGGGTATCGAGACAAGCGCTGACCGATCTGATTAAGATCTTACTTGGTGATAGTCTAAAAAGATATGAACAGTGTAATAATTCTTAACGTGATAAATATGCACACATTTGTATGTGCTTGTATTTCTATGCAACTAAATAAATGTGTCTTTCCAACCAAGCACAACAAAATACAAGTTTTAACAACCTATCATAGGCATTATTTGCTTAACGGATTTAATAAAGCAACGACACAAGAAATTAAGTTTTATGCAAGTTGACAACACTGTGCTAATTATCGAGATAATTCAATATGCAATCGTTTACCTGTCTGAACAGAAGTATAACACGGTACAAACATAACATCATACTTTGTTCGTGTTGTATATTTCCTGTAGGATACACGTTTTCGTAACTTTTTTTTTTTTTTTTTTTTTTTTTTTTACTCGTATTTATCTTTCGCAGACATACAGCTCGTTCGAATATGAAGAATGGTTTAAGAGTTTCACGGATCTTGTATGATTAAAACTGGGAAAAAAAAAAAAAAAAAATAGCCAAAATGGCAGCTAGCCAAAAAATCTACCACTGCGATTTTTTTTCACATACCACACATATTTTTCCCCGCCAAACACATGCACAACGCAGCTTCGAACGCTAAAGAGCTCGGAGTGGAAAATATTCTTTAATCAACTTATAGTGGCCGAAACATTTCTTTACGAAAAAAGAGCAGAAAATACTAACAAAGAATTTAATAACTACTACAAACAACAGTTAAATATTTGGAGACATAAAAATACTTCCTATTCCAAATGGTTTAAAATTGAGATGCCCTTTTCGCTCAGCTTGTTAAAATAAATGGGTGAAGTTACACGTCTTGTTGAAGGTTTTAAGCATCATTCAAATGCGCACCAATGCATTTACCATTTAAACAAAAACGTAAATTTGCTCAAATATGTGTACATATACATATATATATTATATACACCATATATATTATATACATATGTGTACATATCCCACGTGGGTATTTTCATTTTACAGTATTACCACCTACCTTCTCTCAATACGTGTGAATCGAGGTGGTAGTTTTGTCGAAAAACTCAGCCCTTTGTTAGTATCTTCATATCAAAAAATTAAGATGTTGCAGTGTTGCAATGTTACAATGTTACAATGTTGCATATGGCAAAAGGAGCAAATTGTGAGCCATAAAGGTTGATGAAAAAAAACACTACTTATGCTGTTTACATGAGGAATAACCTTACTTCAACTGGCATGAAAAAAATAAATGAAATAAAATAAAGTAATAAATAAATGTAACAAGTAACGAATGAAAAAAAAAATGTAACCAAGAAAGCGGAAAGGCAAAGAAAAGGAAGCAGAGGGAACCACCATTAAAACATAGGCATTTAAAACGATATAAGAAAATTTTATTTTTACACATTTTCTTGTGAATATTTTATGTGTTCGCAAACTTATATTCACAGATACTCTAGCACCATTCTATTCCTCTAATGCACATTGGGGAATATATTTACTTATTTACTGACACGAAACTGTTTTGACAAAAAAAAAAAAAAAAAAAAAAAAAAAACTAATTTTCTCCTCTCGTGCGCAAGGCGTGTAGGTTTTAGATATGGCCTTAAAAAAATCACTCATCATTCGGATGTGGAATGTATATACTAATATATATATATATATATATATATATATTATATAGTGCGATAGACATATAAAAGATTGCATACATAGGATTTAACACATTTGCAGCGTGAACAAATACTGTGTAAATAGAAATACGAATTGCCAATGAAAGAAATGCATATAACCAAATAATGTTCTAGGATTCAAAGGCTGAGTGACCAGAAGGGTTGTTGTGTTTTAATCAACACATGATCTATAAACATATATATTATATTCATTTATATGTGCCTCCCAGTAAATGCACATATTTTTTTTTTTTTTTTTTTTTTTTTTGTTCGTCTAATAATACCTTAACGCCGCTAACCATTAAAGAACTCGTAAAAATACAAAAAAAACTCACCATTCTTTTTTGCCTTAGTAATTTTAAGTGACCATTGTGTTTATGTTAAACCTTAAGAGGAGTGAAAAATAAAAAAAAAAAAAAAAAAAAACTTCACAAAAAGTGAGTTTTAACAGATGAAGCTACATAATAATAAACATATATATATGTTTCACTCTCGTGTAGGGATATTCATGTAAAAACTTAAAAACCTACATATGTAACTCATAACCTTATCAAAATAAATAGATGTACACAATATATAGTAGCGCTTTTCTCTTTTCCCCCTTGTAAATGTTCCTTTGGTGTTAGCATCATAAGGTCTTCAAGTTTCTCATTTTATTGCCTCAGTTATGGTGTGACATGTGTAAAAATACATATAATAACACAAGCGCATGGATTTATGTGTGTTAAAAGTCTGCTGGACACATGACACATAAAAAAATGCACCAACATGTATGCAATTATTATCTCTCATTTGCTTCGTTTTGTTTCGTTTATTTTTTTTTTTTTTTTTTTTTACCTTTCTTTTTTTACTTATTTATTTATTATTATTATTATTATTTTTTTTTTTTTTTTTTTTTTTTTTTTTTTTTTTTTTTTTTTTTTTTTTTTTTTTTTTTTTTTTTTTTTTTTTTTTTTTTTTTTTTTTTTTTTTTTTTTTTACCTTTCTTTTTTTACTTATTTATTTATTATTATTATTATTATTTTTTTTTTTTTCTACTTTTTCTTCTTTTTCTTTTCTGAGCATTTTTGGTAATAAGGGATAAAAGTTAAAACTCCGAAACACAAAAAATTAGGAATTGAAAATTGCTAAAGTGCGACTTTTGTAAATTCGCGTTGTTTTCTTTTTTTATTTTTGCATTCCCAACTTAGCTTAAATTTATCTTAATTCTTGAATAAGCTTGTATATGTTTGAATAAGCTTGTATAAGTTTGAATAAACTTGTATAAGTTTGAATAAGCTTGTATAAGTTTGAATAAGCTTGTATAAGTTTGAATAAGCTTGTATAAGTTTGAATAAGCTTGCTTTAATTTGTATGAATTCGCACAAAAAATTGCTTTAACTTCTCATGAACTTGCACAAAATTGCTTAAGATGGAATAAATTTCCGCAAGTTCAGATCACATAAACGTTTTTATCATGAATTTTCACAGATTCACCCGTCCATTTTCAATTCACGTTTTGTCACACCAAGTGTCATTATACATACACTTCACGGATTCTTTGAGGCACAAAGCCCAGTCCCCCCTTTTTTTTTCCTTTTTTTCCCGTACTTTTCCCACAACATTTTTATTCCCCTTAACATTTTCATATTCCGTGTTAAGATAAAAAAAACATGAGCTTTTATAGGTTAAGCACATTTACAGATGTGGTTATCGTGTGAAAGTATATGTAATGCTATTTTCTTCTCCTGTGTTCACACAACTCTTAGCACCTTTTTTTTTTTTTTTTTTTTTTTTTTTTTTTATCCAAAATCCTGTACCCCATATTTCATATAAGAAGTGCTTATGACATTTTGTGAATTTTATGTTTAGATATGAATTGCCCATTCGTGCGCGTGGCATAAGTTTAATATATATAAGCATAGTGTGTATGTGTTATTTATACTTTTTCTCGCTCTACGACATGTTTTATCCTCTTTTGTTTATGATATTTGAGGACATAGAGAAGGGTTTTCATTTATTTTGATTTAAGTATATTTATGCGAATTTATGC